TCCAGGGTGTTGCTGATCTGTAAGTCCATGGTACATTAGATAATACTTCTATAATTTAGCAAAAATTAAGAGTCCAAGGTACATTAGATAATACTTCTGTAATTTAGCAAAAATTAAGAGTCCAAGGTACATTAGATAATACTTCTGTAATTTAGCAAAAAATCCAAGAACTATGATGATGACACATGCATAGATTATTTAATCTATGGAAGCCTAGAGCTTGACGTGCATTATTTTATAAGGTATCGAAGACAAAACATCATGCAAGTTAAATCTGAATAGCTACACAATTTATTTTGTATTTATTTCATTGGCTATATTTTGGTCCTTCGAGCCGGATAGTGTAATTCCGCTCTACTCGAAGACTTAGTTACAATTAACACATGTAACAGACCTTCTCAAATAACTCTAATATTATTTACTTAATAGAGTGCACGATCACATAATGAGCAATACACCAACCAACCACCACCAAATAAATAGCATCATGCTGCTTTCAGACTCTATTACATAAAAGCTTGGTGATGTAGCACATAAATTATATTGACAGCCACTTACCTGATGTAACTTCTTGATATTACATTATTATAAGGTTAATGGTGGAAATAAGCTTTTAAAGACTAATCAAGTGAAAAAAACTGGTTAGACTGTGTAAAAACTTTATGGGAATTAGTAATATGAGGCTAACCCTTTTATTTTTATGGTTATTGGCACACATAACACAAAAAACGATTCATGAACAACACACAAGTAAACATGCTTTAAGTAAGCAGGCACGAAATGTTAGGCAACAAAATATTGGTGTTAAAAAGAAAAAGGTGAAAAAAAACACAAATAAGGCGTGAACAGTAAACTTCAAAAATATGGTTAGCACATCTAAGAGGCAAAAGCTTAAACACAAGACTTGAATTTATGCTAGCTATTCCAAGAAACTCTTGAGACTCACTCAAGAGTTGCTTGGAATAGCTGTACAATGCTATAATGTGACACTTGATTAAATAACTTTTCGTAAATGATACACAAGATCCATGAAAAACAAATGAATAAGTGAACAAATGGCCGATCAATCCCGTATATTTCAGAGCTATATCAAGACCATTCTCAAGTTAGTAAGAAAATAATTGCAGAGCTACTTTAACGCCCGTATTGACAAACTATGAGGACCCACAGTGCGCGTGGACGCACGGGGTGACACACGAACCAATCACAGAGCTCTATTCAACACTGTGCGTTCATTTGTTGCTTCACTTAAGCAAGTAATTTCTTCTGAAACTATTAAGAACGTCGTTCTGTCTCCTTCCTAAAGTTGCTGTGCCCTAACTGGGTCCACATTGTATAACTGCCTAAATTGTAAGACCTAATGTGAATGCTAATGTGGTTATGCAATAAACGATTGAGTATTGAGTATTAAGTATCGTTTGTGAATATGGGCGTAAGACACAGGTTAATAAAAAAGATCTTACCTTAATGCGTCCCTTGGCCGCAATTAGTTCTATGCCACCGCAGGTGTCAGCTGGGAGGAAGTTCTCACTGTCCACCTTGAGAGCGACGTCCTTCTTGATCTTGGCCTTGTAGTCCTGTTGGGCCTTGCCCAGGAGGGACTCCACGAGGCTCTTGTCGGCCTGTCTGACGCGGAGGGTCACTGTGGATTCCATCAGCTGAAACAAATTGGTACATTTTGTTTATTTTGTATTCCTGGGCAATTGCTATCATTCTGTCAGTTAGAGGTAGTCCATTGCTGGACTTAATAGTCTTCTCAACAGGATGAAATATTGGGCACTATAGGCAGTCAATCAGTAGTAAGAAGGAAAAAGAAGGGCCTAGTAGAAGATCAAACTAAGTCTTTCAAGGAGTTGTCCTATGCACTATGTTTTGGTGCTCATTTTTTTTTTTGTGATAATGATTTCTGCAATCAGTCGCCAGACTATAATCAGATATGTTGAGTGTCATTTTATTGTTAAAGAGCAGCTGGCCTATGCCTAAGCTGTCTTCTTAAATTACGTGGTTTTTTTAGCCTTTTAACCACGTTGTCATTCTCCAGTAATCCATAGGCGAGTGGATTGGGGTGATGAGTAAGACGTTCGATGTGCAGTTTCTTGTATCGCTCTATTTCTGTGGCCACGGTTTCAATGTTCAAGTACTCGTGTATTTCATCATTCCTCGTGAACCACGGGGCATTCGCAATATTCCTCAATATGTTGTTCTTGGTGCTCATTTGGCATAATATGTATTATGGACAGTTGATAATGATAGGAATAAAGTACAGGAATTCAGATGGGCCAGGGTCTATCCTATTAAATAATGGCCGATTGATGACATCACTATGGAATGCCTAGATTAATAAACAAAAAATTAAAGAAAGAAATATACAGACAATACCATTGTTAAATTTAGTGAACCTGATAGATACGCTTATTGCTTTCTTTTCCAACCTAATTACCCAAGGTCAGCTGGTAGAGAATGCCACATGGCATTAAGTTCGCCTTTTTGTACCACTTATTTTTTTGTGTGTGCAATAAATTTTTTAAATAAATAAATAAAGAATTCTGTAAACATTTACCTGGAAGAGGGCCTGTACGATAAGTGTGACCAACAGATCTGAGTACAGCTTGGCATCGGAGGGCACCTCAGCCAGGCGCTTGCGGGCCTCGTCGAGGACGTTGCGTACGTGGTCTTCACGCACTTTGAGCACCTTCAGACGAGCTTGGTTGAGCATGTTCGATGATTGGCTGTGGACAAAATTTTGATTAGTGTTAGGTTGTTTTGACCATAAGTTCATTGTTGGTCTAATTCAACTTCTCTTAATACATAATTAAAAGATCAGTATGCTCTAAAATCTCAGTTCAGAACAGCCTATGTAATAACTTTTCTGAAATAAGTAAAGATAATATCTACTAAACTAACATGGGTAGAACTCTCACTCAGTTATGTCAACATTTACTCAAACCAATACAATTATTTGCATTGATTTGGCATCAATATTATTTGCAAAACTAGTGTCTAGTTTTATAAAAATATCTTTATGTATGTAGTCAATCATGTAATCTCGTAAAATCGTAGTGTTTGGTACTGTAAGTCTATTTTTCCTATTAGATTCTAATAAGTTAACACGTATCTGAGTACTGTATTTGTTTGATATTTTCATAGGATTTGACATGTCAAACCAGTAGTTAATTTAGAGATAAAATATCCTCTAAAAACTGAACCATTTGATTTTTCACCTACTAAGATAACAGTAGCACCTGTTATCAGATCATACATAACTACTCATATAAAAGTTAGAATGAACATACTGATGTACATAACACCTAATGAATGCCATTGATTATAACCTAGTATAGACGCAATGATCAGAATGCAAGTCTGGTTCTTTTAGTTTATCATGTGACTAGGCAATAACTTACAAGTCTTACAACCACACATGGAAAGATAAAATAGTTGTAACTTAATTTTTATTCATATAAGTAACAATCACTGCTATTTTACAGCAGTATGTTCCTAATTGAATGCATAAATCATGTGATTTGACAGAATTGATACGCATTAGGAAAATTTCTGTCAAGTTGGCAAGAAATTATGAATTGAACTGATGCTTAAGTTGTTCCAATTACACTTTTTGGACACAGACGTATGATTATAGCCTTGAACTGCAGGTGATTGCAGAATGTGCCTGCAGTTAGAGAATGAACATGATATAATAGGGTCATACATCTTTTTCTGGAGTTCAACTTGTTTCTCCTTCTTCTCATAGTATTCCATGATCTTGAGTCGCTGCTGCTGCACGAGGCGACCCTTCTCGATGTTGAACTCCTCCTCGGCCTTTGCATCGATTTCCTCGGCCTTTTCATTGGCCTCTTGTTCGATGAAGGCCATCATATGCTTGATCTGTTAAAGAATACCCATACATTTTAACCATTACCACCCCAAACATAGCAAATTGAGCCTCAATATCCATTACATTTCATGAACTCAAAGTGGATCAATCATCTTGACAAACGCATATCGTGAGGCGTATACTGTACTGCTGTAATTCAAATACATACCTGCTTTTGAACATCTGCATCGCTGAGCGCCATGGCTGATGGATTTTATTGAAACACCACTAACACGTAAAACAACCGATATTGAGCCAGAAAACCAAAAACTGGCCCGAAGAAGAATGACGACGCCTATCAGACGTGCTCCTTCATTGAACAATCATATGATCCCGATGTTGCCATAAAAAAATATACAAAAATACTAAACCATAACTTAGTCTATGATTATGTAAAAATTTAACTAAATTATTTGTATTTATTTATTAAATAAACCAGTGAATTCTATAAAATATAAAATAACAAGCGAATACTTAATGTCCATATATTTTTGGTATACCTTATTTTGAATATTTAGGCGGGTAGTATTAAAATTTGCATGATTTATGTGTAAGTTATTTATTTATTCAATCGCAGTTTTAAAGTTGGTGTTACAGATTTATCGTCTGTCTAAGAACGTGTAAAACTGACAAACAAAGTGCATTATTGTAACTCTAATTTCTTCGAATGAGTTCGTTTGTTTAAATAATTATGCGAAAACGAACAACAAGCAGAAATAAAGAGATGTATTCTCTTCCTCCTCCTCTCACACCGCAACAGCGTTCGCAACCTCCACCTCCGATACTTCATCCTCGTGGTCCACCACCACCAGTCAGTATTTTTTTTATTATTAAATTAATTGAATCTAGATGTTTGTGAACTTTAGATTAGATGTTTGTGATAATTAAATTACCTCTACTATTTCTACTATTTACCTAAAACTTCTTTGATTATAGCAACTTTATTACATTACTGCGGTCGAGTCAAGAGTGCTACTTATAGATTTTGTTTAGTAAAACATTATACTATTTTGTAATTAGAATCATTCCATAATATATAAATAATAATAATTTAATTTGATAAATATTTTTATGTAGTTGAATGGGCAATTCGAACAAGCTATGTTATTAGAATCGAATATGATTTATGTTTTAACTTCCGCTTTTAACAATATGGCCGCCAGTTGTTTAGGGTAATGTGGCGTTCGACAAAACTGAGTGAAATTATTAAAATATTTATTAGTGACGTAAAGATGTATAAAGTTTTCAGCGTTTTATAGCAGTGTTTGATGACAGAGACGGTCATTTGAATGTTTTTAGTTCGTGTATGAAATTTTGAACGCATCTAGATCGTCTTCTAAATTGAACAGTCAACAAACTTTTGTTTATTTCATTAGAGTGGATTTATTTGTTTCTGCCGAGAATACTCGATTATGAACCATCCATACGTGTCTTGAAATAGTGGAACAAGGACTGACGTCGACACATTAGGTAAATATTCATGATTCTTGAAGAAGCAAGTGAAATCTAAAACATCAGGGTCGCCATTGTTTGACAGGGGACGAAATAACCATTGTAAAATAATGGTATAACTGTTTAAGCATCTATTATGTTATTGTAATTACTGTTATCTTGTTTATCTATAATATATACGCGTATAATATAGGGTGCATGCAGTTCGTGTCATTTCATGATCTTCAATGCAATGGAACTGCTGATCTTATTGAGGATTCTTTGCTAATCCAAGTTGCTATTTGTGGACTAATTCCATGCTAACTGTATGATGAAATGACTGACCTGCTAACACTTGCTTGAATGTTATGTTTTTCAAATGTTAGGTTAGTTCAAAATAGTTTGACATTTGTTTACATTAAACTTTAGTCATTTACTTCATTGACTGTATTATTTTAGCAATAAGCATTATCAAATTGTGAAGTACTTCCATAGTAGTGAACATATTTCTGGTTGTGTGCCCCAGAATGTGTAGTTTTCAAACATTTTTTGATCAATGTAAATATTCCATTATTAGGCATTCAGTCCTCGTTTTTCATTCAGTACAAGCAGATTAGAGTGTGCTGTAGTTGTGTGTTTTGTAACATAGCCATTGCTAAATGCACCCGATTAATCAGTTTATCATTCAGGGTGTGTACATGACTTCAAAAACCAATTCCGCAATATCCATGTCCAGCCAAGAGGTTAAGAAATTGTGTACTCATTGTGAAAATAGAAGATATTTAAGAAAGCATTTAATTGGCTGTATGAAATGTAGGTATTTAAAAGAATATTTTTCAAGGTACTAATTAATTTTACTCAGTAGTGTTGGTACATTCACTTTATATGAATTGAAATTTAAGATTAGCTACTGAAAGTACATTCTTTTAGTGTAAGTAGTTATTTTACACCAGAATATTATATCCATTCTTATTGCCTTACTTTTGCGTAGATAGTTGAAACAGCATTAATCATTGTAAATAGATAAAAGGCATTTGCAGATATGTAGATTGTACAAATAAAAACAAAGATAATATTAGTGATGGGCCAACTCGGGAAAAACAAAACTCGATTTAACCCGAGTTAAAATCCACGTAACTCGGGTTGAACTCGAGTTACGTAACTCGAGTTAACTGGATGGACAAGTCAGTTTTTTAATTATTTTTGCCAGTTTATTCCCTCAGATTCGTATTAACATTTAAAAACATATCATTTATAATGTATTGGGAGAATCATACTAACTAAAGTAAGAAAGAAAAAAATATTGTTTGAAATATAATAATTTATTCATGGATTTTTGGCTTGAATTTTAATTTAAAAAAATATTTATATTTATTATCACTTGGCATTTTTCAAAAACAGAACATAAAACACGAAAATCTACAACAATAACCGGCAGTTTAAAGTTAACTTCAAATGATCGGCAATCTCAACTCTCAAATGATCGGCAATCTTCGGTCCATGTCGGATCCATTCGGTTTACGATACAAACTCGAGTCAGAGAGAATTCAACTCGAGTGGGTTCGAGTTACGCCCAACTCGAGTTAACTCGAGTTACTTACTCGAGTTGACCATCACTAGATAATATATTTTTCGAAAGGCTTTTTATGTATAAATAAACACAGATTGGTAATTTAAACAGTTGTTTATTTGAATATTGGCCTACAAAATTACTGCTCGATTGCACTGGTAGCTAAGCAATGATGTAAACACATTAAAAACAAAAATTATCCCTGAATCTATATATATAAAAATGAAACCCGTTTCGCGTTGTCACGGCATCACGTGTGAACGGCTGAACCGATTTCGATAATTCTTTTTTTTAAATGTTTGTGGAAGTCCAAGGATGGTTCTTACGGAAAAAAATATTAAGAAAATCTCTACGCTAAGGCGGTACGAAGTTCGCCGGGTCAGCTAGTATTTTATAAAAATAAAATCTAAGAGGCATGTTAGTGTTGAAAGAGAAAATCATTGTAATAAGTATTACAAATATGGATTATATTGTAATGTACAAATGAACCAGTTTTCCAATTTCCTACAAACCTCAATTAAATTGGGTAAAATTACTTTAATGCATTTTAAGAAAGATTTAAATAATTTTATTAGCAAGGTAAATACAATTTTGTCAACATTTATACAGCTGTCAAGGTATACTAGTTGAAGTCAACACTAGTGAGGTTTTGCATAAATTAGTTATTAATATTTTTATTAAACAGAACTATAGTAAAATATTGTCTCTTTTTTGTAACAAAATAAGGGATGCTATGTCATGTAAATAGTTTTAAATAGCTGTAATAGAAAGTTGTAGTTGCATGAAAGTATATTTGTTTAGAATAATACACATGTGAGCTCACAATACAAGTAAAACTTTCACATTACTTATTATAATGTCCAGTGTTAATTTGAGTATGTAAAATTATATTTCGGTTGTCACTTTCTGTGATTTCTAACAAGGAAAATATGTAATTTTGTCTTCTCCCCTTGGTTTTTTCTGTAAATCTAATTAAAAATTGTTTTTGTAGTGACTCAAATTGAAAATTTGACTATGCTTGTATTATTGTGAATAATTTTTATGGAGGATACGATTAGGACCTTTGACTTTTAAATACCAATGCATATTCTGAATGTCCCAAAGATGACCTGAAACTCAAAATGAACATTGGAGTTTGATTTCTAGTTACGCAGTCATATCAACAAATGTCATGCAATGTTATTTGTAAACAAATAAAACTTATCTTTTATGTGACATTACTAAGTAACCTTTGCCTCCAGAAGTATTTTTTCTGAGATAACTGGTTATTTGTGTCCTATTTATGTGCGAAATTTACGCAAATGCATTAAAAGCTTAGGTATTTATTGTTATTGTATCTTGATTTTGGGCTGTGTTTGTTAAGTTGGTGAAACTTATAGCACAGACTGAGTATCACAAAAAGTTAAACTTTCTTTAGTGGTGTAGTACAGTATCTAACTTCAATAACTTTTGTCACAATATCTTAGTTTGTCACTAAACTATACTTAGTTCTAATTGCCAACATAATTACATACAGAAAAATAAGTAAATGTAGTTTTCATTGTAACATATTTTATTGTTAATTATTCTTTGAAATATGCAGTTCAATTAACTGAAGTAACTGGTTTTCCAATCTGTCTTAGGCCTTGTTCAGACACACACGATAACGCGGTTTTTGGGTGGTTCTCACCGGCGAGACACAGGTGGTTACATTTTGATGTATAATGTACGAGAACTGCCCAGCAACCGCGAGATTATCGTTGTCTGAACCAGGCCTTAGTGCTTTGCCAGACTGTAGGCGCGTGCGCCACTATAGACACTCGAATAAGATTTCATATGTTTGAGTAAAATTCGCTGCGCCCGCGTGTCTAGACCAAGCTCTTACACTCTTTATTGAACACTGTAGTAATGTCTTCGTACAATGTTTCAGGTTATGGCAAACTTGAATTTCCAGCAAGCCCCTAGAAGCCTAGCTAGTGGCGGCGTGGGCGGTGTGGGTGGCGTGGGAGGGCGCGGTCTGGTCTCAGGGGTGAGAAACTTTATAAAATATACAGTCTACAGCTACTACAGAGCAAGGTTCAACTGTGTACCTTTCTTTTTTCTTTCGAAGGAAGTCATTTACATTGACCACTTTGTGTCTTGTAAAGAGAGAGTTAAAACAGTTTTCAGTGTAGTTTGTAGCTAGATTATCTAGTAAGGATTGTTCACAATAAATTCAGATAACGTTCAAGTTTGTTTTGGCTACTACTCTATAGACACATCTTACAAAGAAGTAGATAAATTATCTAATTAGCGATATTTTTATATTATTTACTGCTGGCCGTTAGCCCCTATGGCGATGCTCCGCTGATCTTTTCCAATAGCATAAAAAATTTAACTTTTCAAGAATAGGTTTTAATTTTATTTATTTATGACAAGGACAACATTCGTGGAGTTCAAACTAGCGTCCTGTCACCCTCGGATATAAGAGTGCTAAAGTAAACGTATAGTATATATAGTAGAATACATAGGTTTCCGTCCGTGCCCCAGATGTCATTTTACGTAACGTCATCTTTCAATAAACACTATCACCCGTATTCACAAACGATGCTTTCTTCAGTGAAGCAGAAAATCGAACGCACAGCGTTGAATAGAGCTCTGTGATTGGTTCGTGGGTGACCCTGTGCGTCCACGCGCACTGAGACCTGAGACCTCATGGTAATGTTTGTTAATACGGGCGTATGTTCCCTCCGCGCGTAATTATATTGCTGTCGCGACTGTGCGACGGGCGCCCGCAGTGAGTGTGCGAGCGCGACAGCAACATAATTACGCGCGAGCGATAAGGATGGGTAGCTTGGGGTCATTGGACAAAATTCTACGTGCTCGCGGACCAGACTATAGTTATGTGACGTCAACGTTTAATAAACACTGTTCCCTCCAGGTGTCCGGTCATGTGACGCCGACGTTCGGCGGCGCGCTATCGCCGGGCCGCAATTCCACGGCGATGCCCGGCGGCGCCCCGCCGTCCATGGCGTCGCGCTCCACGCTCTTCGGCCAGCGGGCCTTCGCCGACCGCCGGGTGCCGATGCCGACGACGCTGTCGCAACCTAATTCCAATTCCATGGTGAGTTTGAGTAATAGATTGGGGTTATAAGTCCCAAAGGAGGAGCAAGTTACACGTTAACTACGTAAGAGAAGAACGTAGTCGCACTGGTCGCCCTAAGCAAACTTGACGGCGCACTGTAGCAGACGAGGCGAAAAAATTCGGCAAAACTTGGAGCGAGATCAAACGCGAAGCTCAAGACCCAACGCGATGAGTAGTGTTGTGGACGCCCTCTGCCCCATCTATGGGACACAGGACCTTAAGTCAAGTAAGTAATGTAATAGATACCGGCACTCCGCCGTCCATGGCGTCGCGCTCCACGCTCTTCGGCCAGCGGGCCTTCGCCGACCGCCGGGTGCCGATGCCGACGACGCTGTCGCAACCTAATTCCAATTCCATGGTGAGTTTGAGTAATAGATTGGGGTCATAAGTCCCAAAGGAGGAGGAAGTTACACGTTAACTATGTAAGAGAAGAACGTGGTCGCCCCAAGAAAACTTGGCGACGCATTGTAGCAGACGAGGCGAAGAAAATCGGCAAGATTTGGAGCGAGATCAAACGCGAAGCTCAAGACTCAACGCGATGAAGAGTGTTGTGGACGCCCTCTGCCCCATCTAGGGGACACGACCTTAAGTCAAGTAAGTCATGTAAAAGATACCGGCACTCCGCCGTCCATGGCGTCGCGCTCCACTCTCTTCGGCCAGCGGGCCTTCGCCGACCGCCGGGTGCCTATGCCGACGACGCTGTCGCAACCTAATTCCAATTCCATGGTGAGTTTGTAGTATATTGGAAAACTGCCAAAGCTGGAGGAAGTTACACGTTAAAGATATTAGTGTGGTGGCCCGCCGTCAATGGCGTCGCGCTCCACGCTGTTCGGCCAGCGGGCCTTCGCCGACCGCCGGGTGCCGATGCCGACGACGCTGTCGCAACCTAATTCCAATTCCATGGTGAGTTTGAGTAATAGATCGGGGAAAAAACGTCCCAAAGGCGGAGGAAGTTACACGTTAACTATCATCAGGTCATTTTGTCTTGAGCACGATCAGGAGCACGACCGTCTCTTTATTTATTAGAGACAAATGGAGGATTTGGCTTACACTCTATGCTGGCCAGCTAAGATGATTGGGGGCCTGATGATGTTTGTATATTTTTCACTAGAGGCAACTTTGCTTCTTACGATATCCAAAGGAAGTGTTAGAGCGGCCCTATTGTACCCTGCCTGACATGGCTCAGCTCGCTGGCAGCAGGCTGGTCTTCTCAGTTGACCATCATCATCAACAGCCCTTTACAGTCCACTTCTTGACTATGAGCCTCCTCCACTTTAGTGCAGGGTTTCGCCACGCTTGGCAGGCGGGTTGGAGATCGCAGTTTAAAAGATTAATGTTTATCAGAGAGCGCTGCTGTCCGTTCTCTGTTTTATGTGTAGTAGTCTTACGACACCCGCGGGAAGAGTAGGGGTTGGTGACAAATGTATTCTACTCTGCCGTCACCACACGGCCAGTTGACCATAACCTGTTTTATAACGAAGTACGAAATTTCAGAAACTTGTCCTTAATCATTCATATTTCTATCCCCAGTCGAGTATGGGCAACCTGTCTCGGTTCAACGCGGGCAACAACTACCACTCGGTGTTTGGCGAGGGCGGCGACACGTCCACGCCGCCGCTGCTGGACCTCAGCGAGTTCCCGTCGCTCACGGCGCGCGGCGCCGGCGACCAGGCGCCCACGGCCGCGCCGCCGCCGCCCGGCTCTAAACCCTACGGTAAGCATTTAAAGTTGAGAGTCCTCTGATATCACCTATTCTCTGGCGAAGCTGGATAGCATAGACGACCCAAAACAGTTGCCAAGTGCTCGCGCCGCCGCCGCCCAGCTCTAAACCCTACGGTGAGTGCATTTAAAGTCGAGAGTCCTCTATGTTCACCTACTCCCTGGCGAAGCTGGAAAAGTCATTCACGACTAAAGCCTGGTCCGTGAGTACGTAGAATCCCGTCCAATGACCCCAAGCTACCCATCCCTAATTATGTTGCTGTCGCGCTCGCACACTCATTGCGCACAGTCGCGACAGCAACATAATTACGCGCGAGCGATAGGGGTGGGTAGCTTGGGGTCATTGGACGGGATTCTACGTGCTCACGGACCAGGCTTTACCAACATAGTCCATCTGAAACAGTTGCCCATCGCTCGCGCCGCCGCCGCCAGGCTCACCCTACGGTTAGTGAAGCAAAGTGAGCCTTGTGATTGTGAGCCAGTTTGCTCAGGTCACGGTGAGTGTCTTCATACAAGTTAAGAGTTACTCTAAACCGTCTTGAGTACAGCAAAGTAGCCCTTACATCCAGGGCACGGCACAAACTCAGATATGGCGTCGTTCAGAGCACGCTTTAGTGATATGCGCCTGCGCAGGTCTCCAAATCTATTCACAGCGATAGAAAATTTTGGCATTTAGCTACTGAAAATGCGGTATAAAAACTGTTTTACAATAAATTATTATTATTATGTATTCGTTTTTGATTATTACAAACCTAAAGTCAATTCACTAACACCTCACCCTCTCATTCTAGTGGGTATGGTGAAGCAGCCGACATCCGAGCAGTCCGAGTTCACGATGTCTTCAGAGGACTTCCCCGCGCTGCCCGGCACGTCGACCGGCGCCGCGCCGGCGCCGCCGCCGGGCCCGCCGCCGCTCGCGCCGCATCCGCCGCCAGACTACGGCGACAAGCCGCGCAAGGGCATACAGACGTCGCCTGACGGTGAGTAACGGGGAGTGCTTTGTAGAGCGGTGACGGCTGCGGCTTGCAAGAACTATTAGAGCGGCTATAAGATAAATAAATGAATACTTAGATTGCAGCTACAAAATTTTCTATTTTTATAACAACAACCACTGTGTAAAAGCTGCGCACGTGACATTGGAGGAATAGTGTGCCCTCAGTGGCGAAAAAACGCAAGTTCATCGCCATAAACCAAAGAAGAAGAAGAAGAATATATGAATATAGATGACCCACGCTGAACTGTCCCACCAAACTCAATGACAGGGGGGCGCTACCATCGTTCAACTATATGGTTTCCAACATGGCAAAAATCGGAACTAGCGATCCGGGATTGACGGTGGCGCCCCACTGTCAATGTCATGCATAGGACAGTGGGTCTAGTCAAAACGCACTTTAAAATCGCAAACCCATCGCAAACCAGTCGCAAACAAACAAACAAATCGCAAAAGAGGTCGATAACAAAAAAGGCTTAGTCAAACGGCAAAAAATCGAATCGCAAAGCCCTACCTATCGATAATCGAAAGACTGGATTGAAATTTCCCATACAAAGGCTTAGCCAACATGCATTTAAGACTCAATCAAAATCGAATCGAATCGCAACACCCGCCATTTTCATTGCGATTACTTAAACCCCGGTGATAAGCTTCGATTATATCGAAAACCAATAGGGTGAGTTGCACCACCTAACTTTGACCGTAACTATGACGTTAACCGGTGTTTTTTGTATGGAGTTTGACAGATTTTAGACGTTTGTCAAAGTTAAACTAAGATGGTGCAACCCACCTTAAGGCTGTTTTGACAAATCCGTATCGCGATGTCGTTTTGACAGCTAATTTGACAGCGAAGCATAGACGTAAACAGAGAGCAGAAAGAAGGAAGAAACTAATTTAAAAAAAAAACGTTTAAAAACTGTGTCTAAATGCTGTTTGTGCAGGACCTCATTTTCGCTAGCTATTATTACGTCATCGAGATACACAAATAAAAAATCTAGACCTTGTAATACAACGCTATCCATAAATCGTTGAAATGTTTGACCTGCGTTACGTAACCCAAAGGTCATGCGCGTAAATTCAAACAGTCCAAAGGGTGTTATGATCGCTGTCTTCTCAATGTCGTCATCATTTACAGGAATAAAATGATATGCTCTATTTAAATCTAGGCGAGAAAAAATAGTTTTCTTACCTGCTAATACATATTTAAAATCTTGCAATCGGGGTATGGGGTAGCGGTCTGGCTTCGTCACGGCATTCAACCTACGGTAGTCACCGCAAGGACGTAAATCTCCGTTCTTTTTGGCTACTACATGAAGTGGACTTGCCCATGCGCTTTTGGACGGCCTACATATCCCTAATTCTACCATATGTTTAAATTCATCCTTGACCCGTTTGTACCTATCCGGAGGTAGAGGCCTAGCCTTCGTATAGACCGGGGGTCCGGATGTCTCTACATAGTGACATACTGAGTGTTTAGGCGTCTCTTTATACGATACAGGTTTGGTTAAATCTGAATAATTTAATAATAATTCATGCCATTTGTTAGTATTATCCACGGTCTTAATTAGGGCATGAATATCGGAATCTCGGAATCTCGTAATATCGGAATCTCGGAACACGAGATCCGATATTACAATTCCGATATTGAGCGACCCAATATCGTAATATCGGAATCAGATAAAGGTTTTAATTGATATTTTAAACAAAGCATTTAGCGCGCCACAACCTGCCACAAAGCCCAAAGTACATGATTGGCAAAGACCAATGACTTTCTCATGTCTCTCACCATCACTTTTTGTCCTACTGTAAATACTTATTTTATTATCTTTACTATTTATGGTTAATTTAACTTGTTCAAAATCAATTTTAGGACTTGCCGTAGTTGGTCTTAGCAATGAAAAACGACATGTCAACTCCCTTCCAAACATTAATTGGACTATGGTCCTATGTACTATGTACCCTGCCCATTGCCACTTCAGCTTACTAGTCCGTCGGGCTATATCAGCGACTTTAGTTCGTTTAGGGAGCTAGTCGTTTCTGATTCAATCTCGTAAAGAAACACCAAGCTCTCCTAAGCACGCTGTGCAACTTTGAGAGGCCACGTTTCCGAGCCGTATATCATCACTGGTAACACTCACTGATTGAAGACTTTCGTCTTTAAGCACTGAGGTATTTTGGACGAAAAGATGTTATGTAGTTTCCCGAACGCTGATTCGACGATTTACCGCTTTCTCGAAATTACATCTACCTATCTGAATATTTTGTTCGAGGTAGACATACTTGTCAACAATATCGAGAATCGAGCTCCCAACCGAAACTGGGTAAGGCGAAACATGGACATTCTACATAAGCTTCGTTTTGTCTATGTTCATACGAAGGCCTAGCCTACCTGTTGGGAGACTCGATTAAGGTCTTCGAGGATTGTGCCGAGGTGCCAGCGATTCTGCCATAGTACGCAAAGCTACCAACCGGGTAATATGGAAAGCATTGGGGGAGGCCTAAGTTCAGCAGTGGACGTCCTATGGCTGAGATGATGATGACGCAAAACTGACGGCCGATGGTGCAGCAAGGTTCTGGTGTGGAGGCCACGTACTGGAAAGCGCAGCGTAAGACTGCCATCCACAAAGTGGACCGACGACATCATCATGAAGGTAGCACGAAGGCGCTGGATGCAGGCCGCCACAAACCGGCCATTGTGGAAATCGTTGGGGGAGGTTTATGTTCAGCAGTGGACAGGACGTCCACATGGCTGAAATGATGATGATGATGACGATGGCTCGTGGTTTTGTGAGTTGTTCATCGTTAATCAAAAAGGAACAAATTACAAGCAAGTTTTTTACCACTCTCTACAATTTATGTAACATGTAACTTGAATGACACTACAAATCGTTCGGACAACCTATTGTTTGAAGGTTAATATCATGAAGGAGTTCATATTTGTTTGATACCTCTGATTTTATAAAAACACATATTCTTTGCTAGCCCTTAATCCTTATTGGCCCTTTATCAGTAACCAAATACATAACAAAAAATGGTTTTAAATACTTAATTTTTTTATTTTAAGAAGTGCTGTTTTGTACCAAATTAAAGTTTTTGATTAAAATCTTTATTTTACTTTATACAATCCAGAATTGTTACGAATATAACCAAATATTCAATTTATACCACATAAACTCAATTCCGATATTAATATCGGAATTCCGATATTGAGATATAATATCGGAATCCAATATCGGAATTGAAAACCTTCCGATATTACATGCCCTAGTCTTAATAGATGACTCATCGTTACTTTCCTGTGAAATAATCGAAGCGAGAACATTTAGATTAGTGACTTGGTCCCTTAATTTTCGCGCGTGTAAATCAACTAACAGATTGAAATGGCTTAAAAAGTCTGCCCCAATAATTGGCTGCTTTACGTCCGCTATAATAAAATTCCATCTAAATGCTCTCCTTAGATTTAAATTTAAAACAAGAGTACGCGTACCATATGTCTTAATTTCAGTACCATTTGCAGCGTATAACTTATAATTACAATCATCTGAAAGCGAACACACTTTTTAACNGCGATGGCATTTTGACTAGACCCACTGTTCAGTATTTTGGAACTATAGACATGTTGACACCACCAATCAACTGACGTACTTTTTAAAACTGTCAAAACGAAAATCTCCCATAGATTTTGTATGGCACTACAAGCAAGTGACGTCACTATTTTGTCAACTCAAATAAACTACTTTTTTCAATTACAATGCGACCAAAAATCGTCATTTACAGGTAATTTAAAATCAATTAAGTTTTTAAGACCAGAATAAAGCGTCTTTTTAGAAAAGTTGTGATTTTGAATTATTGGAGAATGGTGTCAAACTGTCCATTATGTAAATTAATACAAACACTATCAATCCGCTCCGTTTATTATAATTTTAAATTTACTAACCGGTGTACTCATGCTATAAAATAAATAAATAAATCATGTAAATACGAACACTACCAATCCGCTCCGTTTATAATAATTTTAAATTTACTAACCCAGTGTACTCAATTTAAATGAATGTATTTTCTGTTCTGAGACATGTCAAATTCTATTGGGATTCTGGGCCTCTTCAAGCCGAGAGTAAACAGGCATTTACAGGGCAGTCTAATTGCTTGCCTTGACCATGGTGTGTATAAAAGAAAGTTCATATACACATTTTCTTTTGCATTGTGCGAGGATCGAGATTCGAGACTGCGAACTCTAGCATATAGCATATTATACGCGAATTTCTAATACAAGCCGCCATCGAGAATAGTGTGATTGTTATAGCAGACTTTCATGAGATTCAGAGAGTTTCATGGAACTATTGACCCTTTGTGACTAAATTCATAATCTAGGGATGTTCTCTTTACGATCGAACAAAAAATGTGTTTACGTAAAAATGCAGTCAGGTGAAATGGTGTCTACTTGTGCGTAACGGATTACCTGTCCTTTTTTACGTTTCGCGACGTGACTTTATTGTAATGAAATAAGAAAGTTTTTACATTCATGTCAATAGGCAATATAGCCCATGCTAAAATAGTTCTTGCAAGAAGGCAGCTATAGACTAATTTTGATTAAAATAATTCATAGTTTTAACAATCACGCACTTAATTGTAACAAATGCCTAATATCATAATACATGATAACTTGAGCGTGATTGTCGACGTGTTTTGGTATGTATTGGACTAATTACTTATTTTGTGTAAACTACCTCGACGATCCATATGGGGTACTTTTACAAGAAATAAATAATTTGTAGGCAATAATATTAGTAACGCAAACCTTTCAATGTTGTCTCATTACCCGCTATTTCATTCAATAAGTATAATGTCTTGCAAAAAGCTGCTTTTATTTATGCATGCAATATTTATTGGTTCAAATTTCAAGTATTGATGTAGTAGCCTAGAATTGATGTCGAAATAACCTGTCTGACATTCGTTTTTTCTTCCCAAAGTTGTCAGTCAAGGAGCACATACGGAATTCTATGGTGTGTATTATTGCCTCGGGTGCAGATATGTTAAAGTGGCTTGTGTTGCCCTGATTTGTAGCGAACAAACAATTAGGGCTACAGCGTTCATAGCAAAAGCAGCTTTAATGTATTCACCATTCAAATCAAATTTAAAATTGTGTATGATTCGTGCTATTGTGATAGAGGAATGTGTTTTTTTAGGCAAAGTAACGAATATACCAGAGACAATGATACCGAATCAGTTTGGTATTGTGGGACTATTGACGTTTATTCGCGCAGCGGAGTCTGACCCCAGTCTAGTGTCACTGGCACTAGGTCAAGATCTCACGGCGCTCGGATTGAATCTAAACTCACCTGACAATCTTTATCTCACCTTCGCTGGACCCTGGGCGGATACGCCTTGTAGGTAAGATTTTAAAAGGATATACTAAGCTTGGTTTAACGTCTAACTTCATCCGAGTTGGGTGAGCGAAAGCGATAGCGCCGTCGTACGCGTTGTCATCATGATTCGACCACAGGACAGTGTTCAGTTCAGAAAAAATAGCAAATGTTTTTCTGGGTTGAACCTGTTTTTGTGGAGCCGTTTCTACGTATCGTGCATGTAGTTGTAGGTACAAGCGGCGGTTCTGAATCACCACTACGATCGCCCATTGCATGTTTTATATTTAGTTTCTGCGATTTATTTTGTTATTCCATTATTTTGAGCTCGCTAAGGGCGTGTTCATAACGAGAGATGTGTATTTCAGATGCTGTGATTGGTTGATATTTCACCAATCACAGTCGATGAAATGAATGTCAGAATAACATTGTGAAATTAACTTAGAACTACTGCTACCGCTTGCATGTTATTAACACGCCCTAAAACAACTTCCATTTGATCACATTTCTTCCATTAAATGTTAAAATAATTAATTTGTAAACAGTAGACGCTAAATTGTGTTTATTTTGCGTTGCAGACCACAAGATATGGACTACCACGTACCCCCCGAATACCTGATAAATGGCTCCATCAGAGAAAAACTGGCGCCGCTACGACTGAGTCGATATAAGGAAGATCTATTGTTTTACTTGTTCTACTGCTTCGTTGGCGACGTGTTACAAATCGCAGCTGCAGCTGAGCTGTAAGTTTACGAACTTGTACCACAGAATAATAATAAGTACTACGTACAGAAGTTTTACTTCGCGAAGGTATTTAAAAAAATGTATGCTCAATGTCATTAACAATATGGTGTAATTTAGCCTGTCTCAAGAGTCAAGCAAGTTTGTCAGAAGTTTTGTTGACAAACGTCAGTGATCGGCACTGCGCCGAAGCTATAGGGCTGACTTCGGTAAAATGATGTGACGTGAGGTGCCAATCTGCAGAAAATGGCGGAGGAAATACATGATTTAGCATGAATTATCATGAATAATATTAACTACTTATTTACCTCTCAGTGTCTTCAGGCAACTTAAAAAAGTACATTCTGTGTTTTTATTATTATTTAGGCAGTTAAATACTGCACAGTATTTAGTACACCATTTTCTTTATTTTTTTCCATCATACACAAGAATACGCGTGCGTGAGTCAATGTTCGCTCGTATGTGAGGCCTTGTCGAATAGTACTCTTGTAGGGGGCAATCGTGCGTGTTTTGTTTTCGATGTAAACTCGCGGAGATGAACAGGCCTGGTTGTACCTAAGATACACAGCGTGTATAGGACAAAGAAAAGAAAAGAAAGCATGTAGGAACTAGAGTGAAAATAAAAACCCAGTCTATCTTAGGCCACACGCAACGTAGGTACATAGGGCACTGTATAGTGTCATAAATATACAAGTTATACGTAAATATCTGGCGGTCATCAATTATTACGAAGTTGAGACCATCTAACAAAAATCACCAGTGAATTATGTGTTAAGTACATAGGTACTATCACACCTAGCTCGATACTTAGGCGGTTATCACACTGCGCCGCGCTCCGCCGCGGAGCGCGGGGTGACAGATTTAATCATTGTATGCAAGTACCTCAGTTTGTATAGAAAACACGCGCGGCACTTCACACTGACAACGCGTCCGCGCGCGTGATTTTTTATATGAAAATCACGCGCTCCGCGGCGGAGCGCGGCGCAGTGTGATAACCGCCTAAAGAGCTGATACTCTGTTGATTAGATACTAAATGAACAACATACCAACTGTTCATTCATTTTTGTCCCAATCTGCAACTGCAGCTGGCGTTATGGTCCGAAATTTAAGGCCTGGTTCAGACAGGGATAATCACACGGTTGCTGAGCAGTTCTCGCACATTTGCATCAAAACGTAACAGCACGGTTACTGCCTCAGTGCCTTACCAATGAGAATCACCCAAAAACCGCGCGATTATCGCTCGTCTGAACCAGCACAGGGCTACTACGAAACGCTGTTTACGTAGTTTCGGGTCTATCTGTCACCTTCCCTCGTACTAGCATCTCGCTTTGCGTGAGAGAGATGGCAACATTCGAAACTTCGGATGACGTTTTTCGGAGTAACGCGGCCTTAATCTAATTTTAGTACTGTTTTGTTTGGCTTATTCCACAATTCCCCGTTAACGCCAATTGGAGCTTATAATGGGGAATAATGAACTAAAAAGTTCATTAATCCCCGTTATATTAGGATTTTATTTTTAACGTAATGGGGATTAATGAACTAAAAAGTTCATTAATCCCCGTTATATTAGGATTTTATTTTTAACGTAATGGGGATTAATGAACTTTTTAGTTCATTATTCCCCATTATAAGTTCCAATTTAACGTTAACGGGGAATAGTGACGGGGATTGTCAACGGGGAATAGGTTGTTAATAGTGACGTAATGTCGCCAGGTACAACCGCGAGTGGCGGTATCACATGGAGGAGAAGGTGTGGATCTCGCAAGCGCCCGGCATGCCCATGGTCGAGAAGACCTCCACGTACGAGCGCGGCACCTACTACTTCTTCGATGCGCACAACTGGCGCAAGGTACGTACTAATATATAGACGGCCGTTTGGTGTAGTGGTTCAGAACGGACTACTAAGCCGAGAGGTCCCGGGTTCGATTCCCGGCCGGGCAGAAATTTAATTTCTGTGACGGGTCTGGGTGTGACTATGTATAATATGTATGTATTTAAAAAAAAAAAGTATAAAAGTAGTATATCCGTTAAGCTAGCACCCATAACACAAGCATTAAGTTGCTTACTTTGGGGCTAGCTGGCGCTGTGTGAAATTGTCCGAAGATTTATTTATTATTATTATTATTATACACCGTGTTACTTTGCATTCTTGCCATATTCACAGAGATAAAAGTAGGTAACAATACCTATTATTTAAGATAAACAAGAGACTCCCATAAAGAAAGTACACTAAGATTTTAGTAAATTTGGTTTTTCAGTACAAATTGGAATAAACCAATTTTGTCTCGCACGTTCTACAGGTGCAAGTGGAATAAACCTAGTGGGCGTGGCCTAGTTCTTAATAATCTGTTGTTTTATGGCTCTGGGTACCAGCCTTTTTATCCAGTCATACATAATAATTATTTTAAAATACTCTTCAGTTGATTTCAGATTTTCCTTTCTACTTTACGGGCTTAGGACCGTCAAAAATACGTAAAAATTAATAGGGTTTCAATTAATTTACGACATTGTACCCTATTTTTACAAATTAATAAATTAAGTATGAAATGAAATCACCTTATTCACAATTAATTATTTATTCATAAGTTCCTACTTACAAAGTTTACGTACTGCGAAGCAAGTGTTCAAAGTGTCCTCCGTTCTGATGAAGGCACTCTAGCACTCTAGCACGGCGAAGCGTAGGTTTTTCGCTTTAGTTTTCGCAACACATAAACGTTTTGTATCACAGTTTCACTAAAACAATCCTTTCATGTAACGCGTTTACACTGTTTATCTCTTCTGCGCATACCAGTCGTTTCATGCGTCGTTTCAGTCGTGGTGGCCAAGCTACTGGACCCCTCGTCCAATCCACTGTTCACCAAACGTATTATTCGCGCACTTGACGTCCTTATTGTGGGGGAGCACCATCCTGTTTTTCAGTACAAATTGGAATAAACCAATTTTGTCTCGTATGTTCTACAGGTGCAAGTGGAATAAACTAGTGGGCGTGGCCTAGTTCTTAATTTTATGGCTTTGGGTACCAGCCTTTTTATCCAGTCATAATAACTATTTTAAAATACTCTTCAGTTGATTTCCGATTTTCCTTTCTACTTTACGGGCTTAGGACCGTCAAAAATACGTATTATAATAATTAATAGGGTTTCAATTAATTTACAACATTGTACCCTATTTTTACAAATTAATAAATTAAGTATGAAATGAAATCACCTTATTCACAATTAATTATTTATTTATAAGTTCCTACTTACAAAGTTTACGTACTGGGAAGCAAGTGTTCAAAGTGTCCTCCGTTCTGATGAAGGCACAGTCTAGCACGGCGAAGCGTAGGTTTTTCGCTTTAGTTTTCGCAACACATAAACATTTTGTATCACAGTTTCACTAACGTAACGCGTTTACACTGTTTATCTCTTCTGCGCATACCAGTCGTTTCAAGTCACTCCAAAAATCCATTGGTGTCAGGTCCGAGGATCGTGGTGGCCAAGCTACTGGACCCCTCGTCCAATCCACTGTTCACCAAACGTATTATTCGCGCACTTGACGTCCTTATTGTGGGGGAGCACCATCCTGCTGGTAGTAGAGCATTTGGTGTAACGCTAAGGGTACGTCATCAAGCATTTCGTCTAAGACGTCTTGCAGACACTCCCAGCACCATTTTGATTAAATTATTCGTTGTTTGAATACACTTCAGTCATTTTTGTATTATTTATTACGTAATTTGTGTTTGATGGATTTCTCAGTTTTTTACAAGTGTCAAAAAGACATTTTAAAGACATTAGATTGCAATAGATATTTAAAAATACAATAAAAAGTAAAAAAGTCTCCATCGCCATCGCCAACAAGTGATGTGCATGCGTTACGATAATTAGTGGTGTGTTTAACAGATTGTCGATAAAATAAAATACTCAAGATTAAAAAAAAAATTTTTCGGGCATTATTTTTTTACGGATTTGTGTTCAGTATCAGTAATATAGTAACCTCTGTAAATATGGCAAGAATGCAAAGTAACACCCTGTATACAAGATACAAATCTTTGCTTGTATTGATCGCCCTAACTCTTGCTGCGCGACATAACAATGAAAATGCCAAGAAAAAAGANTGTATAGGCATAGGTACAAATTACTTGGTAAAAGACGCCTGTCTTTCCGCTAGATATAGATGTATGTAGGTAAAGTCCGGTCGCCGAGCAGATAGAATTTCGTACAATGACTCCAAGCTACCCATCCTTATCGCTCGCGCGTAATTATATTGCTGTCGCGCTCTTATGATTTGCAGTTTTAATTTTTATCATGTGTCTACGCTACGCGCATATTACTAAAGCCCGACTGTGGTGCTGTAAGAATTAATCAGCGTTGAAAATGGGGCGTCTTTCACGTAAGGGTGTGGCCCCATTTGTCCGTTGCACTGCGTCGCAGCGATATATTTTTAATGACTTATGCCATATTCATGCGATACGTTACCACAGCGCAACGGACCAATGGGGCCTTACCCTTAAATTGCAAATACAACAGTCCTCTTATGCTTCAGCGCTCACCAAAGGGCGCCACTAATTAGTGACAGCACCTTCCTTACTCAATAGTGTTGCCAACTGGTGAGCGCAAATACGATACTCTTCATTATATTGAACCACTATTACTTGTCGGCAGGTGGCGAAGGAATTCCACCTGGACTACAGCAAGCTGGAGGGCCGGCCGCAGCTGCCGCCGCACGTGCTCACGTAGCGCCCCCGCGCCGCGCGCCACACACCTAATGTAGTTTTGTTATATAAAAAGTACAAGTTTAAAAAATGAACGCTTTTATTTATTTCTAAACCTCCAGAGACCATCCGGTATATTACCAATCCGTAATCACTTACCATCAGGTGATCCGTCTGCTCGTTTGTCTCCTGTAACATAAAAAAAAACATTTCTGTGGATTGGGTGCCTGCAAATAGAGGCGTGAAGCGCTGCAGGAGCAAGACCACAGATATGGATTAGAGTAGATACAGCAAGTTGATCGTCAAAGCGTGCCATTCCGATATGTCCAAATGGACATACATGGTCGAGTGATGTTCATGTAATCCGATTACAACAATCGGTTACGATGATCTTACGAGGACAGTAGTACGAACACGGTAGAAAGAAGAAATTATTTACGGATTGAGAATTGTAATTAACAGCACAAGTAACAAATAATTAATTAGAATAAAGTAGCAGTAGAAGAAGTATAAAAAAGCATTGTTTTTAATACTTATCCTGCGATGTACTCTTAAGAGTTAAAACCATGGTCCCTGTATGTGGTGCACTCATACCGATCCCAAGGAACCGTACTTACTCATAACAATAAGACACACACTGATGCATGTATTCATGCACTTGACAAATTTATGTCTTGAAACGCTGGTAGGGTAAAAAAAATAACGAGATTTGACGATTTGTAAGAATTAATTTATTTTAAAAAGGTAAATAAAGATGTTTTTGGTTTTGTATTTAACAAATTATCAGTTTTATCGGAATTAATTAATTTTCAAATCGAGTCGCACGATATCATTCGATGACTTTGCAAATGCAGTACGATGATACGATTACTTTTACGTTGCTGCAATCACTAAAATTCGCTAAAATGACACTAATGACGTTTAAAAAGTGGCACGCTCGGCTTCATACAATTTTTGACACATGCTGCATCTATCCATATCTGTGAGCAAGACTGCTGCTGAATTCTGTGGGTCTAGTCAAAATGCCATCGCAAACCAATATGAAGTTTTCACTAATGTCAGTCGCCGCGTCACCAGTAATTCGATTCGATCGGAAAATGGCAGCCAAAATGCACATTGAACCACCAACGACGCGGCGATATAAAAGTTCATTCAAAATCGAATAAAAGTTAAAAAATGTCTATGACTTTGCGATTGTTTTTTACTTTTTTTAGCTTTTTTTTTTTAATTTGTTTCTTCCTTCTTTCTGCTCTTTGTTTACGTCTATGCTTCGCCGTCAAACTAACTGTCAAAACGACATCGCGATACGGATATGTCAAAACAGCCTTAGGGTGGGTTGCACCATCTTAGTTTAACTTTGACAAACGTCTAAAATCTGTCAAACTCCATACAAAAAACACCGGTTAACGTCATAGTTACGATCAAAGTTAGGTGGTGCAACTCACCCTATTGGTTTTCGATATAATCGAAGCTTATCACCGGTATTTTAGTAATCGCAATGAAAATGGCGGGTGTTGCGATTCGATTCGATTTTGATTGAGTCTTAAGTGCATGTTGGCTAAGCCTTTGTATGGGAAATTTCAATCCAGTCTTTCGATTATCGATAGGTAGGGCTTTGCGATTCGATTTTTTGCCGTTTGACTAAGCCTTTTTTGTTATCGACCTCTTTTGCGATTTGTTTGTTTGTTTGCGACTGGTTTGCGATGGGTTTGCGATTTTAAAGTGCGTTTTGACTAGACCCACTGTGCATGTTGGCTAAGCCTTTGTATGGGAAATTTCAATCCAGTCTTTCGATTATCGATAGGTAGGGCTTTGCGATTCGATTTTTTGCCGTTTGACTAAGCCTTTTTTGTTATCGACCTCTTTTGCGATTTGTTTGTTTGTTTGCGACTGGTTTGCGATGGGTTTGCGATTTTAAAGTGCGTTTTGACTAGTCCCACTGGTTGCAATATTATCTACAGGGATGGCGCTAGTCAAGCGATTTTGAAACGTCAAGTGGCAAAAATCTGAACTAATAACTCAGTATTGATGGATGGTAGCGCTGGGTTACGGCTGGGACACCAGTGTTCTTTAACTATAGTGGTAGTGGAGGAGGAGCATGTGACGTATAGAGTCCATCGCTGCCGGTCGTATAGTTCCAAAATACTGAACTGTCCTATGCATGACATTGACAGTGGGGCGCCACCGTCAATACCGGATCGCTGGTTCCGATTTTTGCCATGTTGAAAACCATATAGTTGAACGATGGTAGCGCCCCCCTGTCATTGAGTTTGGTGGAGTCCATCGCTGCCGGTCGTAGAAAGGCGCGAGCGCACGGGTGGTGACTTGTCACCGTGACAGTACGTAAGAGCTTTTCCCCTCTTAGAGGCAATACACGGACCGCTTGAAGCAGTCAGGGTCGACTGCAGAGTTGAAACTGATTCGGGCGGTCGACAGTACGGTGAATTTTCATCGTGCGGTCAAGCAGTCGCCAGCCATATAGTTTCAAAATACTGTGGGTCTAGTCAAAATGCCATCGCAAACCAATGGGAAGTTTTCACTAATGTCAGTCGCCGCGTCACCAGTGATTCGATTCGATCGGAAAATGGCAGCCAAAATGCACATTGAACCACCAACGACGCGGCGATATAAAAGTTCATTCAAAATCGAATAAAAGTTAAAAAATGTCTATGACTTTGCGATTGTTTTTACTTTTTCTAGCTTTTTTTTTTAAATTAGTTTCTTCCTTCTTTCTGCTCTCTGTTTACGTCTATGCTTCGCTGTCAAACTAGCTGTCAAAACGACATCGCGATACGGATTTGTCAAAACAGCCTTAGGGTGGGTTGCACCATCTTAGTTTAACTTTGACAAACGTCTAAAAATCTGTCAAACTCCATACAAAAAACACCGATTAACGTCATAGTTACTTTTAAAGTTAGGTGGTGCAACTCACCCTATTGGTTTTCGATCGAATCCAAGCTTATCACCGGGGTTTTAGTAATCGCAATGAAAATGGCGGGTGTTGCGATTCGATTCGATTTTGATTGAGTCTTAAATGCATGTTGGCTAAGCCTTTGTATGGGAAATTTCAATCCAGTCTTTCGATTATCGATAGGTAGGGCTTTGCGATTCGATTTTTTGCCGTTTGACTAAGCCTTTTTTGTTATCGACCTCTTTTGCGATTTGTTTATTTGTTTGCGACTGGTTTGCGATGGGTTTGCGATTTTAAAGTGCGTTTTGACTAGACCCACTGAAGTGTACTGTGGGGCTGGACTGTCCTGTCGATGACATTGACAGTGGGGCGCCACCGTCAATACCGGATCGTTGGTTCAGATTTTTGCCATGTTGGAAACCATATAGTTGAACGATGGTAGCGCCCCCCTGTCATTGAGTTAGGTGGGATAGTTCAGCGTGGGTCATCTATACACTGACTGCTCGAGCTGTCGACAGCTCTCGCGCAGTTACCTCCGCCCACTTTCTTCATTCCACGGCGCGCGCGCTTGTGATTTATTGAGCAGTTAATACCAACTGCTCGAGCAGTTATCACTGGCAGCTTCAAGCTGTTGACTCTTGACTGCAAGAGCGGTCCGTGTATGTTGATCTGCACTGACTAACTGCTCGAGCGGTTCGTGTATTGCCGGCCTATACTGTCACGATGACAAAATAACCCGTGCGAGCATTACAAAAGGGAAAAGATGCTACTTAGGTCTAAATAATTTTCATTTCAATGGTAACAACCCTTTGTCGTATTTAAAGATAGCATTTGGCTTTACAGTGGCTGCATGCAGCCTGCCGCGCGACAGGTTTATATTATTTGCCTAATTAGGCATCCGAATAAAGCTAAGCGTCCACATGTCGGTATCATCGGTATCGTACGCATCGGACGTGTATCGCACGCAACGGATCGTAGTATTATTTATATGGAAACTCATTTAATTTTAAGTGCGTCCACCTGTCCGCATCGCACATCCGATACGATGTTTCGTACGATGCGTCCGTTGCGTACGATACCGACATTACTTTTCTCTATCGACAAGTGGACGCTTATCTTAAATAAGTAGCGGGTGCCCGTGCCGTGGTTACTTTAAAATGAAACTTCGATTAGGCGATAAAATTTAATTTCACATGACAAGAGATGTTTCGCTTACTTATAATTTTATTTTGTATTTATTGTATTCGGTTGTATAAAATTAAAAAGCTCTGTGTATAAGTATGTAATAAAAAGCTTTGTATATCCAGTACTCTATGTAAGTAACCTATAACTTTTTAAATTATCGCTAACATCATTCGACTAACAACACAAATTAATACTTCACTAATCTTTGCTCAACCAGTATTCTACATCTATTTATTGCTATCCAATAGAATTTGATAGAATCAGGTTTGTTACAAAGGAATACACAAAATATAAAAATAAACTTAATTCTCAAATCCTTAATCTATGTGAACATATCTCTGCATCTGGGTATATCATGGGTGCCTATTGATGTTTGATAACTAAACAGTGTAATCTCGTTGTCCCCCTAAATTGTAGTGGACATCAGGAAAAAAAATTGTCCAACAATATAATTTTTCCCGATGTCCACCAGTGAAAAAGAAATGGTGGGGGACAATGGGAATACATGAACTAAACTATTAAATGCAGTAAATCAATCAGTCAACATCATCGACACTGGATTTGGAAGTTGCAGGAGTGTCTCCGGACGCTTCTGCATTCTCTCTCATGGTGGGTTCTTCGTCATCAGTTTTGCCTGGCACCCACAGGCCTGAGTCCACGCATCTCTTCATGTAGTAAATAGCTTCTTGTTCAGGCATTTTTGCAATGGTTGCTTGCAACATCGGAACGTCTTGGGAATCAAAGCATTTCTTCAGTTCCTGTAATGATGAAGTGACAGTTTGTATTATTTGGTTTTTTGACAGTTTGGTTATGAGAATATAACTTGATCCACATTAAGCAAACCATATCTCATGGTGAAAAAATCAATTGTTACTGTACTATCCAGAGGAGAAGATCAGTGGTAGCAATATTTAGAAATAATAACTACAGAAATGGCTGTAAGTTATAACAAAATTCCACTTACATCAGGCAGTTCTTCATACACCTCAACTGGGTCCA